TGAAAAATTATATGATATTCAATTGATACTTAAACTCAAGTGGTTTTGATAATCAAAGACCTTCACAACTCCAAATTCAAATAATTCAGACTTAATTTAAAAGGACTTGATGCAACTCATTTGGGTAGAAACTTAAAACAAACTGAAGGACAACCCAAAGTTTGACCTTATTGGATAATTAAATTAAAAAAAAAAAAATCCCACCAGAAAAACTTATCCAATCCATTTAACGGATTATAATTATTTACACTATATTTTTGCCCCCGCGTTGTCGGGGTTGATAATTTTTTTATCAAATTTAATTTTTAATATATTTGTTATTTTTTTATAAAAATATTTGTATTATTTTAACATAAATAATAAATATATTTTTATAATAATTTCATTAAAAATTACTTTTAATATATTGTGTAAATTTATAGTAATTTAATATATAATTAAGTCTTATATAATTAATTTAATATATAATTTAATAGAAATATTATAATAAATTTCATTAAAAGCCACATGTTAAATTTTCATGAAGTAATGACAAAAGTATTTTAATAATTTTATATGTAATTAATTTTATATCTTGTTAAATTTTAATAATAATTTAATATGAGTATTTTAGTAATTTAGCTAATTATAATAAAAAAAGCATTCTTGTAATTATAATAAAAAATATACTATAGTAATTTTGAGTAATTATGTTAGGAGAGTTATTTTTATAATTATGATAGAAAAATATTATAATAAATTTGATTAATTATGAAATGAGAAACATTATAATAAATTTAAACAAGTATCAACTACTAATCAATTAATTAAAAAAGTATTAAAATAATTTTCTTATAAATTTACTTTTAATATATTGTAAAGATGTTGTAAATGAAACTTTACTTTACTTTTGATAATCACTTTTTTTTTTTTTAACTTCTACTTTATAACAACTTTTCAGGAAATAATCGAAAAGCAAATATTCTTAGTAAATAGTAGCAAAACATCAATTAAATGAAAAGGTTATTTAAAAAATTTTAAACTGATTTTTTAAAAACTTTAATTATAGCAATCCAACATAATGAACAAAAAAGGAAAAAAGCAATCAAACACAGCATAATACTAGGTCTAAAAATTAACTATTAAATTTTAATAAATAAAGAAAAATACACATAACAAACAAAGCTATGTAACATGCATCAACATAATTAAATTAATTAGTTTTAAGAACATTGGCATAAGTATGATCATAATCAAAATTTAAATCTTACTCGATACACGTGAAATCAGAGCCAACTTAGCATAAATATATATTTATTTGATTCTTTTGAAAATGGGTTTTAGGTACAACCAACAAGAAAAAGCAATATTTTATAATAATTAAACAACAAAAGTTTAACTATTAAAATTAAATTCTATTATGTATGAATTTCGTTTAACTTTATTTTGTTTGTTAATTGATTTATTCCATTAAATGTAATAGTTATGTTGATGTTGAGAAAAATTTTCACGAAGTATTGCAATTGTAACTTTTTTTTTCATTATAAATGCAATCTCATATAAAATAAAGAGCCACCAAAATTTAATTCGTATGCAAAAAAAATTAAGCATGTTTTCTAATATGGATTTTTATTGGTTTTGAAAGAAATGAAAATTTAGAAAAAAAAAATATAGAGTTTCATTACTTTTATGAATGGGTAAAAATATATTAACACTACAAAATAAGCCCTTAGTAATATATGAAGTTAACTTAAATGCAAAAGATAATATGATATTTAAATAAAAAAAAAATCTAGGTTTCAATATGGTAATGGCTCGATTGACACGGGCTTATCTAAAGTTTTACTCAAGTTATTCATAAAAACGTTATTTAAAATAGGGTTAAAAAATAAAAATGTTTTGATGTTAATATTTTATTAAATATAGTACATAATTAAATTAAATAAAAATAAAATTTTATTAAAAATAATATTTCAAATCCAATCAAAAAAATTAAATTTTAAAACTTTATTTTTAAAACTCTAAATGGAGCTAAAGAAGGGAATCGAATGTAATGCCTTGTCATTGACAAGTCTTGTAACCATCAAATAAAAAATCATAAGAGATTATTTAATATTTTAATTGATTTATTTCTCTCTAATTTTCTTCTATCAGTTTTTTGAAATCCTGTGTGTTAGAAATTATAAAAAAGAAAAAAAATTAGGAGACAAAAATTTGCTTGATAAAAAAATATTAAATATAAAAATTTATTAATCTAATGATTAAATTATAAAATAAAAAAATAATTGTAAAATTTAATTATTAAATTGAGTCTAAATTCATATTTATTATATTTTAATATTCATAAATTTAATCATTTATAATTTATAATATTCATAAAGCAAATTAACTATAAATAAATGTATTTTAACTATTAATGAACTTAATCATTTATGAATATATGAAATTCATAAATATAATTAATTGTAAGTAAGTTATATTATTTGTGTTTCTGTCATTTAAAATTTGAATTTAAATTCATATTTATTATTTATTAGTTATGAATCAAACCTAAATAGAATCAATAAAACACTTAATCATTTACGAATTTATGTATTCATGAATTCAATTAATTATGAATGAATATATTAAATATTTAATATAATTTAAGTTTAACATTTTTATAAATATATATGATTATAGTCTTAAGTTCCATTTGTTTTATAGAAAATTTTTGAAAAATAATTTTTGAAAAATATTTATATTTTATGAATTAAAAGAGATTTTTTGTTGTTTTGATGAATTAATGAAAAATATTTTACGTTGTTTGGTTGTTTTTTGGAGAATCTATTTTTTAAAATAATATTAGTATAACTATTAAAATATTAAAAATTATTTATTATTAAAAAATATTAAAAATATTTATTATTAAATTTATTAATATTAAAAAAATAATTATATAATAATAATATTTAATATTAAAATATGATGTTTATATAAAAAATACTTAAAATAAAAACGATTTATTATTCTTTAAATTATTTATTAATATATATTAATATATTATATTATTGGTATATTATTTATTAATAATATATTGTTATAATATTTATTAATTAATTAATAATATTTATTATTATATTTTATTAATATATTATAATATTTCTTAATATTATTTATTAATATATTATATTAATAGTATATTATTTATTAATATATTATAATATAATATTATTTATAAGTAAAATTATGGTCAAAATTATTAATAAATAGTTATATTCATAGATAGTTATTTTTCAAAAAATATATTTTCTTTTTCAAATTCATAAGATAATTTTCAAAAAAATAACCTCATTTTCTATTGATCAATAAGTTATTTTTTGTTGAATAATCAATTTTTTATTAAACAAATATTTAAAAATATGAATTGTTTTTTAATTATTTTTTATAAAATAAATGAAGTCTTAGATTGTTTTATCAAGCATAAAGCAAGAAGAAAAAGAACTTATGATCAACTAGCTTAGAATGAAAGATAATATAATACACGTTTTATTCTTGAACATAAATTCTATAAAAAAAATATATATATATATATTTTAACTTTTTTAGATACAATCTAATTTTACTAATATAGTTTTTTATTCTTTACATTGGGTTAATAAATTATTTATTATAATTCTTATTTGAACATAATATTTATAATATGAATTTATAAATTATAAATAATATTTTTATACATATTTAATTTCAATAAAAAATTTTAAATATATGATTAAAAATAATATAAAAAATTTGTAAAAACTTACAAAATGTAATATTAATTTATTATTACTTATTTCCTCTGAAATCTCATACATACACATGAGAGACAGGAAAAAGCAAACCCATAATTTCATATTTCAAAGAAATCAAAAACACAATCAAATCACATGTTGAATGAATCTTTTTGGTCTTCCTTTTTAGTCAATCCCCACTTCACCATTTATTCCTCTTGTAACAGTTGACATACGAACCCCTCTTTTACTCTCTCTTTTGCCCTTACTTTAATTTAATTCACTTTCTTTATTTTTTTAATTAAAATTACACCTACCAATTCTTAAAAAAATCCATATTTCGTGACGTAATATGAAATTATACATCATATTTTTAATTTATCAAATTTTTGATGACAATTCACGTCTTGATTTATCGAATTCAAAATCAATGTGAATAAAAAAATCTATATAAAAATTCTTCATTTACTTGGTAAGGTGGATAGCAAGAAAAAAATTTTAATTCAATTGTTGAGCAATAATAAAATAATAAATATGGATACAAACTCAACAATTAAATTAATTTATTTTTTCATTTTTCTTATCAACTAAAGTTAAGAAATACCAAATAAAATCACTACTTCCTCTATTCCATTTTTTATCTATTTTTTGAAAAATTTCAAAATTATTTTTTATGATTTTTTGGTTTTTAATATTAAAAATCATAAAATTTTAATTATAAAAAATTTAATTTTAATATTAAGTATATTTAAAGTAAAAATTTTTTAAAAAATTTCATGAAATTCAATACATTTCAAATATTTTAAGACAAATAAAGTATAATTTATAAATTATCTTTGAAGAGTTGTATGCAGTATGAACCAGTAACTTAAAATCTACATTTATGATCAAAGAAGAGAAAAATTAATTAAAATAAACAAGAGAGGGGGAGACAAAGTATGGGGAGAAAATTGTACTAAAAGGGAAGAAAAAAACAAAGAAAGGAGAAGGTGAGAAGACACAGAGAGAGAGAGAGAGAGAGAGAGAGAGAGTACAAGAGTGAAAGTTGAAGAGAAAGAAAGTGTTAGTTTAACGCCGATTTTGTCCAGAGGGAGACAACAGCGTGTCTGCAAAAATCCTAAAAATTCGATTCAGTTTTACTTTAAAAAGCAATGAAGAGCGATGGAAACATTAAAAAAAAAATGAATAAATTAATACTAAAATAAAAAAAAGGGGAAGCACACACGCAGATCAAAGGAGGACCATGGAAAAACTTGGTACTCTTTTATTTTTTTAAAACTATTATTCAATGTACAATACCAGCGATGCTTGGTGTGCCGGTAAACATTGTTGCCTTTCAAATGACCCCATTTCTTACTTCAAAGATTTTTCACTTTCTTTCTCCTTTTCTTTTCTGTTTTTCCTTTCGAATTTTTGGTCTTTGGTTTGTTGTGCTTTGCTGTGAGTGTTTATTGGTCAATCTGAAGAATTTGGTTTTAATATAGAAGAAAAACAGTGAACGTGCTATTCTTTGTCTTTGTTGTCTTAGACTAAAACACTTCACGCTTGGAAGATAACATGATTAGTGTTGTTTCTCTGTGAAATCCCACTTATTTTATATGGCAAGAGAAAAAAAGAAGAAAACCTTTTTTTTTTTTTTCGTAGAGAGAGATGATGGATATCTTTGGAGTTTGAGCTGTTTTACATCTTTTGAGAGCCATGCTTGTCTCTGAGAATTGAAAAGCTTTCTCTTTTTTGAGTTCTGGGTCTTTCTTCTCTTCTCTCGCTGGATTGTGACAACTAGTTCTTCAGGCCATTTCTTTGTTAAGCTTGTGTTTGTGTTTAAAAACTTTTGGTTATTGAATCACGCAAAACAATGCTATGATGATAAATAAACTTGGAGTTTTAGCTTAGCAAGTATCCTTTTCTTTCTGTTTCAGAAAAAAAAGGAAGCTGTTGAAATTGCCAGTACTATAGAGAAAGTTGTCTTATTTGTGGTGTATTGTGTATGCATGTTTTCTTGGAGCTTTTTCTAGCTCAGATATGAAGTGGGTATCAAAGAAAGAAGAAGAAAAACAAGAAGGCATAGAGAAACAAGTTGAGATAGTCTTGTGCTTTTGCTGATGGGTCTCAAGCTGCAACAGAGCCACCACCACTCAGTGGCTGTGAAAGTGAGTGAACAAATGGGGACCAAAAGAGGGTACACATTTATTCAGGCTAACAGGGCTTGGCTACCAAAATTTCTGTTGCTTTGGGTAATGGTGATGGCTTTTATGAGCACTTGGATCTACAAAAACATGGATGCTGACAACAAAGTAAGGAGGAAGGAAGTACTGAGTAGCATGTGTGATCAGAGGGCAAGGATGTTGCAGGATCAATTCAGTGTTAGTGTTAACCATGTTCATGCCCTGGCCGTTCTAGTCTCCACTTTTCATTACTACAAGAATCCATCTGCTATTGATCAGGTTTGTGCTTCTTGTTCCTGAATTTTGATCTTGTTGTTCTTCTTGTCGGTGGTATTGGTGGAGTTCTGTGTGGTTTCGGTGGAGAGTTGAGAGATTAAAAATTTCATTTTCATTTTTAGTTTTACATTTGTTTTATTTTGTTAGAAAAAATAGCCTTTGTAAAACTTAGTCTGGTTGATCTTATATTTTCTTAAAAATCGTAGATGGTGAAATTTTTTTTCTTGTTCAGCTTTTGTCCAAGTTTTACAAAATTAAACGTGGCATCCTAGATGATTATTGCCTTTTCTGATTGTGCACTTTTGGGCTTTGGTTTTTTGCAAGAAATGCAGGAGACCTTTGCAGAGTACACTGCCAGAACTGCTTTTGAGAGGCCATTGCTTAGTGGGGTGGCCTATGCAGAAAGAGTGGTACATTCAGAGAGGGAGAAATTTGAGAGGCAGCATGGCTGGACAATAAAGACAATGCAGAGGGAACCTTCTCCTATTCGAGACGAGTATGCTCCTGTGATATTCTCTCAAGAAACTGTTTCTTACATTGAATCGCTTGACATGATGTCAGGGGAGGTATGCCATTTACTATTTATAATTTTTAAGTTTTACATGTAGTCTGATATTTAAATTCAGTGTTAGACTTGACTGGCAATATCCATGTTGCATTATGCAGGAGGACCGAGAAAACATCTTAAGGGCTAGGGCTACTGGGAAAGCTGTGCTAACTAGCCCCTTCAGGCTACTGGGTTCTCATCATCTTGGAGTTGTATTGACATTCCCTGTCTACAAATCCAAGCTCCCACTGAGACCGACTGTGGAAGAGCGCATTGAAGCAACTGCAGGGTAAGTCTTACAGCTTGTCTTTCTACTTTTAATGGCCAGTTTATGTTTGAAACATTTTTGTGCTTGGTCTTGTTTGTAAGCTTGTTCCTGCTATATTTAGTAATATATGCGACATAGTTTTGAATTTATTGGTCAAATTGAAAAGCAACTCAAGATAGTCTGAGAGTGTAGATGATGAGAAAGTGTGCAGTCTATTGCAACTGCAGTTGTATTAGAATGCACGTTTCAAACTAAAAGGTTTAGACTCTTGGTCATATGATTTCTGCTGATGAAGTTAGTTATTTGAAGGTATACAAGTTTAGCAGAAGATGTACTGTTCTTCATTTAGTAGACAATCATAACTCTTCATTACCTTTTCTCTGATGGGAGTCTGGATAGCACGACCATTGACCCCACAATTGTCCAAAGCAACTCCTATTACGACCTCAACAAGTTTCTAGGATGGACGCTACTTGGTTGTGCTGACATCACCATTTTGGCTACCACTGCTGACAACAATTGCTGTTTCATTGTGATCATTACCAGCAGTGTGGTGCTCCATGATTTGGTACTGTTGCTAGCACTTCCTTTGGTGCCAGCATAAGTACCTTTACCACCCTTACATCACCTGTACCTGGCATTGGACATTTTTATTTTCTCCATGAATTTGAGTTTAACATTCATAATGATGAATTTTTTAAATACTACTGTTTTTTCCTGGCTAACTAGGCTTCCAGTTATTATGATGGCTTGAAAAAACTGGCATATACACTTTCTCAAAAAAAAAAAAAAGGCTAATTGCTCCCGTTAGTGCATTTCTTAATTTGTGCATCATAGATTTTCTAATATGTCAACTAACTTCTAAATGAACACAGATACCTTGGTGGAGCCTTTGATGTGGAGTCTCTTGTGGAGAATCTACTAGGGCAACTTGCTGGAAATCAGGCAATTCTAGTGAATGTGTACGACATTACTAACTCTTCAGATCACCTGATCATGTATGGTCACGAAAATCAAGATGGTGACTTGGCTCTGTTGCATGAAAGCAAGCTTGATTTTGGAGATCCTTTTAGGAAGCATCAAATGATTTGTAGGTAAGTGTATCACTGACTACTTATTTACAAGGTTGATGGAATGACTGCAGTTGTTTATGCAAGCACTCACTATTTGGCATTCTGAGCAGATATCATCAGAAGGCACCCACATCGTGGACAGCGCTGACCACTGCATTCTTATTCTTTGTGATCTGCTTATTAGTTGGTTATATCTTATATGGTGCGGCAATACACATTGTTAAAGTTGAAGATGATTTCCATGAAATGGAAGAACTGAAGGTTCGGGCAGAAGCTGCTGATGTTGCCAAATCACAGGTACATTTTCAGGATATATCTATCAACTCGTTGTTGACCACCAATTTCCAAGCTAAAACCAATTACTACTTGAGTATCACTTGTGTTCTTGATACAGTTTCTGGCAACAGTTTCTCATGAAATTAGGACTCCCATGAATGGCATCCTTGGTATTTTCCAGATCTCTCAAGTTTTTCTCTGTGAAATATATGTTCAAGGACATTAACAGATTTTAATTGGAAATGTTCTGATGACTTTTTGAATGGTTGCAGGGATGCTTGCTTTGCTTTTAGATACAGAATTAAGTTCAACACAAAGGGATTATGCTCAGACTGCTCAAGTGTGTGGAAAGGCACTGATAACATTGATAAATGAGGTGCTTGACCGGGCAAAAATTGAAGCCAGAAAGTTGGAGCTGGAAACTGTCCCCTTTGACCTTCGTTCTATCCTAGATGATGTGCTTTCTTTATTTTCTGAGAAGTCTAGAAACAAAGGTGTCGAGGTAAGTCCAGATGAAGTTAATAGAAAACCTAATGCTTCATTTTTCAATATGTTTCTCTATTTTAGATATTTCATATAGGCTAGCTTATAGGGGTTGCCTATGACAGAAAGAAAAAACCTTATGGATTATGATTATCAAACTAACTTGGTTTCAATGGTTTGTTGACATCAATAAATGGTGATGTTCCTGATGCATTACAACGACTCAAATATGGTGTAATTGTTCGGGAAGTGAAGCTGGCAGTCTTTGTTTCTGATAAAGTACCAGAAATGGTTATGGGGGATCCAGGAAGATTCAGACAGATAATTACAAATCTTGTTGGGAACTCTGTTAAAGTAAGTTGGTTGCTCAACCTTCACTCTTTTTGGCACTCATTTAGGTAGTATATGTTAATTTTCATCTTAACCCTTTTCTTGGATTATTATCTACTTAATTGACGGAGGTTTTTGATCTTATGCCATAAGAAACCTTTTTTGGGATCAATTTGTATTAATTGAGTTTATTTTCTTCTATGTAACTGATTATTCTTCTCATAAAATTTCTTTCTAATAAGTTGGTAGTCATTTAAATTGTGTGTTTGATAGTTCACAGAACGGGGACACATATTTGTTAAAGTCCATCTAGCTGAAAACACTAAGTCTATGGTAGATGCAAAAGCTGAAACTTGTTTGAATGGAAGGCCAGATGAAAATGTGCTGATATCAGGTGCTCGCCAGTTTAAAACTTTGAGTGGTTATGAAGCAGCTGATGAGCGGAACAGTTGGGATTCCTTCAAGCATTTAGTTGCTGATGAAGAATTGCGATATGATGCATCAATAAACATGACAGTTGCTGATGAGGCTTCTCGGAGTGTCTCTTTGATGGTATCTGTGGAGGATACTGGCATTGGGATCCCTTTGATTGCCCAGGAAAGGGTTTTCATGCCATTTATGCAGGCAGATAGCTCAACGTCCAGAAATTATGGTGGGACTGGTATAGGCTTGAGCATTACTAAGTGCTTGGTTGAGTTAATGGGTGGTCACATAAGCTTCATTAGCCGGCCACAAGTTGGAAGCACATTCTCATTCACTGCTGTTTTTGGGAGGTGTAAAAATGCTTCATTTACTGATACGAAAAAATCCAATGCTGAAGATCTTCCTTCTGGTTTCAGAGGATTGAAAGCAATAGTAGTTGATGGAAAACCAGTTAGAGCTGCTGTAACCAGATACCACTTGAAGAGGCTTGGTATACTGGTTGAAGTTGCAAGTAGTATCAAGATTGCAGCTTCTGCATGTGGGAAAAATGGTTCTTCATGCGGGTAAGTTGAATTCCCATTTAGAATTATTATTATTTGGGAGATAATTAGTAAATTCAGTTAACTTATGTTTTACATTTTGGGAATTTGCCTGATGTATTTGCTTGATGCTTTAATCACGTTGACAAGATCTTGTCAATGATTACTCCTTTTGAACACTTCTATCAGTGTCTTAAGTTGAACCTTTTCTAATGCCCTAGTGATACCTTATCTAAGACTCAGATTACTTTTACACTGCTAAGTACTTGTTTTTGCTTTTCATGAATGTTAAAAAAGTAAGAGATGGTTTTAGAAATCTAAACCAACCATCAAACTGCTATAAGAAGACCAACTAATATAGATCATTGGACCAAAAAAACATGCTACCTTCTATCCATATTATCATATTTAACCTTGTAGAACTACTTAATTAAATATTGCAGAAGTAAAATCCAGCCAGATATAATTCTTGTTGAGAAAGATTCATGGCTTTCTGGCGAGGATGGTGGCTTGAGCTTACGAATATTGGACTGGAAACAGAATGGACATGCGTTTAAGTTGCCGAAGATGATTCTTCTTGCAACAAATATTACGAATGCTGAACTTGAGAAAGCAAAGGCAGCAGGTTTTGCTGATACTATGATTATGAAACCTATGAGGGCAAGTATGGTGGCTGCATGTCTTCAACAGGTGCTGGGGATAGGGAAGAAGAGGCAGTCCGGAACAGACATGCTGAATGGCTCTTCAGTCCTTCGGAGTCTACTCTTTGGAAAGAAAATATTAGTAGTTGATGACAATATAGTAAATCGTAGAGTTGCTGCTGGTGCATTGAAGAAGTTTGGAGCTGCTGTAGAATGTGCTGAAAGTGGAAAAGCTGCACTAAAATTGCTTCAGCTTCCACACTGTTTTGATGCTTGCTTCATGGACATTCAGATGCCAGAAATGGATGGGTATGTATACCATATCTTTCTCATTGAGAAACAATCAAAATACCAAAAAGAAAGATTAAAGAAAAAAGTTTATCTGTTGTTGTGTCATTCTGCTTTGTATCTGTGGGCAATTATCTGATATTCATAATATGATCTTTTTCTAATAGTATGGCAGTTATATTATTTTAGATAGCTGGTTAAAAGCTGTAAACCATTTTCACTTATGATATTGTGCTTATCCATGCATCTTTCTCTATTTATCTGTTTCTTTTTCTTCTAAGACACGTACATGGATGTACTATAGCTATGATACATGATGACCATTATAGATCTACCTTGGACCAAGAGATATACCATAAAATAGGTGCAATATTGTGAGAGAAGCCAACTGAAAAGAAAAGAAAAAAAAAAAAAGTGGACTGAACGCTACATATGGAATAACCGGTTAAAATTACTGGGTATTCACGGTATCCAAGTCTGAGATTAGCTTGTTGTTGACATCCTTCAGATTACAAATGACATAAAGCAGTAATTTTGAATCTCAGGGCTTAATGCTAATCAAGGCATGGCAAAAGGAAACTAGAAAATCCTTGTGAAGCATTTTCATTATTTCAATACTGTGTAACACTTGTTTTTCTTTACTGTGCAGCACTTCATTTATTCATCAAATTCCTCCTTTCCCCTATGCTTTCCTCCCCACTATATCTGAAATTTCTCTCAAATTGATGTCTCTAGCCAATGGTATGTATACCGGACAGTTCAAAACAAAGGAAACTTCTTGAAAAGCAGAATACACCAATCCATCCCTTGGACTCATTCTTCCATTCTGTATTCCAACTTCTATACTTCAGTAACAAAGTTGGAGTTTGGACATGTCCTTTAAGTGAAATGGGCTTTTTTTGTGTTCAGCGGGGATTGAAATTAGTTTTCTTATTGCTTGATACTTTGTTAAGCAGCGTCTCTAGCAATGTTTTCTTGTTTCAATGACAACCTAATAATATCATTACTTTACTGTGTATTTCTTCAATGCTGCCGTGATTGTGATTTTTCGTTTTCCGACAGATTATCATCCTTTACGTCCAAGACAAATAAATTTAAATATTAATCATTGTATAGGGAAGATAGCATGTGAATATAGTAATATCATGAACTTTTATTTCAGGTTTGAGGCAACTCGTCGAATTCGAATGATGGAGAGTCAGGCAAATGAACAGATGAACGGAGGCATGGATGAAGGGTCTGCCAGGAAGGGTGAGTGGCATGTGCCAATATTAGCCATGACAGCTGATGTAATTCATGCGACTTATGACGAGTGCCTGAAATGTGGGATGGATGGATATGTCTCAAAGCCCTTTGAGGAAGAGAATCTCTATCAGGCTGTAGCCAAGTTCTTCAAAGCCAAACCCATCTCAGACTCATAGCGACAGCTCCAGCCTCTTTCAGAAAAGCAGACAAAACAAAACTGAGAAATATGTGGGTTGGACTTTACCAGCAAATTTTCCCATCCTGCTGGTGCATTGGTTTTAACCACTGCATGGTTTGCCTGGCATCCTGAGGATAATTGGCCCCATTAAAACATATTCTGGCAGTCATTTCTAACCAACTTCAATTTATGATTAGAATTTCAGTACTTGTATACTACCACAGGAACTCCATCCCAATCTGTTTGTATAGATCTTTACAAGGGGATAGAGTCAAAGGTATAAATCTCATTTTCTTTGGAGATTTCAAAACTTTCATTTGGAAACGGTTCCGGTCCTTGTGCCTTGATTTTTATAAATTCTGTTATCAGAAAGAGGTAGCTACAAGTAGATCAGTCTGCCCTTCATACATGATTTTCATTTTGAAATTCCCTGAGTTTTATAGGCAGCAGCAATGCAAAAAAAGTTGATCTTCTTATGCCCTTTCCTTATTCATGATTATTGGAAACAAGTGAATGGTTGATTTGAACAACTAGAGGGCAGCTATATCAAAGCAATGCAAGTTATGGAATTGCAGGAACAGGAGGCGGTCCAAGTGGGCAATTAGCTTCGCAATCGGCTTTTACGTAATAGCACGGATGTGATTTTTTTGCTATGCAGCACCAACAATCTCGTGATAGGGAGGCCTCGGATTTCGCTACACTGCGTGGTCTATGACTGCATGGTCCTAGTGTTATTTTGCTGCATGATGGTACGGTCGAATCAAGCTCTAATTAAAGGTTCCATTAAAAAAAAAAAGAAAGAAATCATTTCAATGTACAAAACTACATGAGATACATGTGAAGATGAAAAGGGTATATGAAAAATTAAAAAAAATTAAAGGTATTAGGTACAAATTGAACGAAGCACGCACATTCATGAAAAACGAAAAGAGAGGCAAAAACTAGGAATAGGAAAGCCAAACGAGTAGCCATTAACTCGGTTGCTACCATGTTGACAAGAAATATTATTGAAGGTCTTTTCCAAAGCTTTTCAATATATATGCCATAATCACTATGATATAAATGGAAATACAATAAATAAATAATACTATTATTATTGGAGAGATCCTCTCTCATTTTTTTTCTTAACTATTTATTATGTCATAAGTGGACCCAAAATAAATGTAAATCAGTTAAAAGCTCAACAGTTAAATTTATATGCTTAATTATATAGTTAATATTTGGCTTTTCCTAAAAAGGAAAGAAACCAACATTGGAAGATTGATTTTGGATAGGCAGGTCAACTTCGAAATACCCAATCAAAAATTGATAATTATAATAAATCGGTTTGATTTTTTTATTTAATAAATTAAATCGATTTAAATTTTGATTTTTATGATTTATTTGATCGATTTTCGATGTTGAATTTTAAAAATTAAACTGATCAAGATAATAGATATTTAATAATTAAATAATTAAAATTACATTTTAATTAATTTTAATTTTACAATTACCCATTTACCCTTTACTTTTTGTACATTTCCCTAAACTGTAAATCCCTAATTTTATTTTCCTTTCTTTCTTTCTCGACTCTCACACTCTCTTTAGCCTCTCCATCTTTCACCATACCAACCTCTTTCTCATCTCAGTTTCTTGAATCTTCTCTCAACTGTCACAATCATGCCTGAGACCTAGACTCCATTAGTGACGACTGAGGAGCCCTTGGAGCCCGAAGCCACCACACCATACTACCAGAGCATACCCATCAATGGTCACCATCTTTGGGTTTTTGCCTTCCCCTTTTGTCAAACTAGTTGTGTGCTTCACCTCTTTCCTTCACTTGATTCATGATGTGTGCTTAAACCCATATTTAATGTTGAATGTAGATAATCTCGAGGAGTCCATTAGAAAGGAATTAATAAAAATTTGTTGGCCTTTAATTGTTTCTTGTCAAAGAATTATACATGTTTGTGAATTTTAATAACGTTTCTCTCTTATTTTCGAACTTATTACAATAACTACCTTATATGATTTACATAGTTGAATGTTGAAAACTAAAAAAATATTAGAGGATCGACGAAAATGAGAAAATCAACAGCAACCGATTTACTCAATTCGGTTCGGTTGCATTTGGTTTTTTCTATTTTCTTCGATCGATTTAGTTCTTTATTAAATTAATTTAATTAAATCAATTATTTTATTTTTACAATTAAATTAATCGAATTGACTTGCTATGCCTTAATTTTGGATTCAATGTTGCATTCATTTAAAGATTGTGTTTAAATTTTAATTAAAAATCTCTACCATTTAGAGAAAAATTTCTGTAATCATTCAGTGGGTGTTTGAATTTTGACTCAACTTATGAAATAATTTTTTTATTCTAGAAGCAAAGTCGAAGGTTTGATTTTTAAAATTTTAATATTTTTAGCTTATGCGATAAGCTCATTTGAGCTAGATAAAATTATAAATCAAATTTTTCTAAAAAAGTACTAGCGTTTATCATGTTCGCATATGACTCTTCAGCAGCATTCCTATTTGAGGTTGGAGGAGAAACGTTGCCAACCCAAGATGGTGCTGTATTTGCATGACTTTTTGTTACTCCCGCTTTGCTTTGTCCATTATCATCTTCTGCAATTCCAACCCATTTGATCATATAGGGATATTAATACTAAATAATAAATCAACGCAAGATTTAAGTAATGTCTCCCAAATCAAGTTATTAAAAATAAACAAATAAAAATTTAATTTAAAAATTTAATCGGTAAATTAAAAATTTGTCACTTAAATAAAGTATACAACAAAATTTCAAATAATTTGGATATATTATTTTTATATTTTATTAAATAATGTATACGCAAACTTTTCACCATCCAATAAATATCTGTCAAATTTTGCACAGATGCTATATATTTTTAATTAACTTTCTATAAATTATTAAATGTTTTTATTAAAATTTATCAATCTATCAATTTTAATTTTTAACTTCAAATTTTATTTAATCGAATTGAATGAAAAAAAAAATTACAAACTTGACATTAAAAAACCTCTTGAACACTTTACTGTAAATCAACAAGACAAACAAATACATGCATTAAAGTTTAAATCCCTATTCCATGTATAATTTAATAGATAGAAAAACAAAGAGACAATAAAATATAGAGAAGAGAAAAGAAGTAGGTTAGGTACCTTTAACCTCCTCTAGTCTACGACCGACTATTCCATGCGGGATGAAGAGGACTGATGCCAAGAGGAAGCAGCAAAGGATGAGAGAAAATGGAGCTTTGATTACCATAGTTTTCTCCTCTAATAGAGCAAAGGATGGGAGCCTTCTAATTCCTAAAGCAGCACTGTTATTTCAGTTTTTTTGGCTATCAAGATGACATGGTACTTACAGTTGTCTCCCACCACTAATAAATACTATGCCTGTGATTTACTTTTCTCTGCCACCCATTATTTGGGTTCAAAGTCTTTTTGGTCAGTGTAAGCATTTTGGGTTTCTTTCTGTCAAGGTTAATCTAATTCATAATTTAATTCTATTAATTTATATAATTATTTTTAAAAAATTATATTTAATATATTTAAAGTTAAAATTTTAATACTTATAATTTTTTTTTTAAATTACAACTTTTTTATAAAAAAAAAATTAGTGCACATTAAGTTCAAGTTATATTTATATAAAAACTTATGATTAATATATGATCTCTTCTTTAATTTATTTAAACTATTGAGAATAATATTTTTAATTGATTTTTTTTTACTTTTTTGTAGGCACTCAATTAACAGGAATTAATTTGTTTTTTTTTTTTCTTTCTTATAAAATGGCCTACTTAGGTTAACGGCTAAAATGATACTTCTAGGTGCAGTGCAAAAAGAGTTTGACTAGGAATGTTAATCTTATTCGTGGAACTTAATTTTTTATTTTAATGAAAATAGAGATAAATATTATATTATAAATATGAAAATAAAGATGAGAATTATTTTAATTTTTTATTAGATATAAAGATGAAAATTAGTAATATAATACTCATTTTGTATTTGTATCTTATAAATATTTAATAAATAAATTTTTTATTAAATAATATAAATTATTATTTTAGATAAATTAAAATTAATATATTTTTATTAAAAAATATTAAACAAATAAATTTTAATTTTTATTATTTTTTAAATTTATGAGTATAAATATTATTTATACTCATTAAATACTTACAAAAATAAAAATAAATAAAAATATTTATTGAATATAAATATAAAAATAAATATAATATAAAAATTCAAAAATAAAAATAAAAAGTACTCTATTTTTATCCCTACCCTACCTATTAATATTTCTAAGTTCGAGTCAATTCCACACTAAAAAACAAAAAAAAACCCAACTGTTGCAGTGTGTTTAATGCAATATTGTATCGACCTCTACTGTGACCGTAACACAAACGCCAATCATAACTTGGAAAAGTAGTACCAGTAAAGTAGGGGAAGTATCAAGGCTATTCAATGTTCATGGCAGCTCGTTTAGCTCTCCTTTTCCTTTTATTGTTTGTGCTTAATGAATGCAAGTACAGCTATAAACAATTTGATCTTATTGTTAATCAACCAATCCATGTTACTGTTGAAATTTACTTTAATTAGAATCTCACGTTGAAAGTTAAGTGAGTTTGAGTTTATCTTGTATCCCACATTAAGAGTTTAATAAAGGTATAAATGGTTTCACCCTTATAAATAAGATGTTTTAGTTTTGGTAATCCTAAAAAGTTAGACACCAAGAGAATAACTAAGTGAATAGGCTATTAAAGTGTGTAATTAGATTTTGGGTTAAGTTTTGAGTATG